GGAGGCATAAGCTATCTCTACTCTCCTGTTGCGTATTTCAACTGTCTGAATTTTTATTTTCCAACACTAGTTGTTGTTATTATTATTATTATAATTATTATTATTGATACTGGATGTGGAGCCCAGGAGAATTTTTGCACTGAGCTGCATCCCCACCCCCACCCCCTTTCTGTGAGACAGACTCTTGCTAATTTTCTGGTGCTGGGCTTGAGTTTGCAATCTTCCTGTTCCAGCCCCCAGGGTGCTAGGATTGTGGCACGCACTACCACCCCTGGAAGCAATTCAGTGCTTCTCTCCGTAAAGTCGCCACTTGGAACATTGGCTGCCTCCATTGTGCTCTGTCGTGGCTCAGAAAGTAACACCCCAAATATGGCACTCGACATGCTGCATATTGTGCGGTACAGGAACAGGCTCTCAAGGTCAAGGCTGAAGGTGGTGGTGAGGGGCTCCCCAGGTTCCTCATCCATCCACACGAAGCTTCTCTGGCGGCATTCAGTCACCTCTGGCTCTCTTGCTACAAATTTCATTTATTGAAGGAAAACTTCAGAAAAAAAAGAGAAGATGCTACACTCAAAGCCCAGGTACTTTTGTTCAGGGCTGTTGTCAGTTCTTTGAGCCCCTGCTTGCCCCTAAAAGTCATTTACTTTTTCTCAAAAATTGCCTCCACTCTCAAGGTCCCTCTCCCTTCTGCAGAGTTTGGTAAACGGAAGCCTTCACGTTTCACTGGGTCCTCTGCTCCTTATCTGTAGCCCTCCTGTGCACTCCAGGCATGTTTCTTTTCCCCCTGATCTGTCCTTCATTAGAGAACGCCCCCTTCCTCCAAAGCTTCCACTCCTACGAGTATTGTCCTTTGATTTAGAAACCTACAGTTCAACAGTTTGACCTAGAGGACCTGGCGAATGACAGAGAGCTTTCGGTTGGACTCTGGACGCGCTCCAACTGTGTTAGAAGAGAATGGAACTTGGCTTTGTCTCCTTTGCTCCTCTAGTTGTCGATGTCTCTGCATGTGGTAAAAGTGTTCTCATTACAAGTCTACAACTGTACAAATATGGCAGGTTATATGGGTTCATGTGCACAAGAGAAGGCTACAGTGGTGCTTCCCGTCTTAGTGATGGAGTTGAAGATTGGAGCCTTTTAAGCAGATAAGGCAAACCTCTTACCTCTTCCTTCTAAAACAAACACAAAGCTTTCCTTGACTCTGGACTCGGCTGCTATAAACCGCAGCAATTTGACTGCTAACTCAATGAAGACAGGGTCCTTCTCTAGCTGTACCTATAGTGACAATGGGGACAAGAAGAGCCAGCTCGAGGGACATCCCCGCCACCAGCCTCAGTGCGCTTCCTGGCTGTGTGCTCCCGAGTAGCTCACTTCTACTTTCCCTGTTTCTTCTCCCATGAAGTGCAGACATAAGCTCCTCACTTGGTAACTCAACAGAAAGCACCTTATACAAAAGAAATCCTTAAGCTTTCCCAAGGTGTCATTATTTCATGTGTGGCTAAGCAAAAGAGGAGCTGACATACATTTGCACATGACCACTACCCCTCCCTCACCTTAGCTACTTTAGATACATTAAATAATGTGTTTTTGCAGTGACTCCAAGATGCTGTGAGTATGTAAGATAGAACGGTTGAAGGCATATAGGGGATGATGTGTGGACCTCCACGTAAGGTAAGAAATATAACTCCCAACCTACTAGATGTCTGAAACACTGAGTTCGTGTTCTCTAAAATCAAGGAAAGAATTCTAGGAACAACAGAGATTAACGGTAGGAAGAATTTATTGGGACAAAGAAAGCTTTTGTCTAAGAGGGACAGAAGGGGCCTGGAAAGTGGGTTGCCGCTGACCCCACTTCTCAAGGGTGTTTTATTGAGCAAAGTCACAAAATGAGCTGGGTTCAAGGTGGAACAAATCTATGTTCAACTAATGAGATTACAAGTACAGTAAGTAATATTGATCCAATGGGAAGTCACAAGGTGGGTGGGAGGTGGGACAGACCTATGGCCAAGTATGGTTGAAACAACTACAGGAGCTTGGTAATTCTGATTAAATGGGGATCAAATGGGAAACCAGATGGAGTAAGCATACATGGGATGAACAAAGATTTTCTAGGAAGGCATGGGCCAGGGAAGCTTTAGTTTCCCACCAGAGTTGCCCGATACCTATTTAACAGTCACTGCTGTTGACCTCTAGAGGAAGTGTGTGGGTGCAGTCATTTCTCTTGTCCTGAGTCCTGATCATCAACGAATGCTCCTTTGCCCAAGGAGGTCTGCTGCTCTGACCTCTCAAGAGCCCAGCCCAGGGGCCGGGGAGATGGCTCAGCAGAATAAGCGCTTCCCTGGCAAGTGGAAGGGCCTGAGTTCAATCCCCGGTTACAACAAAAAACTAAAAATAAAAAAAAAAAAGAGCCCAGCCCTGTCTGACTGCTTACAATATGTCCAAATCACTGAACTATCTATAATATTAGAGAGTTACTAAGAAAGATTATGTGGGTTTTCAAAAAATAAAATGGTGAAGACATTTTAAGTGGTAAAATACAAGGGAGGTAAAATTGAGATGTAACTGTCATTAACAAATTAGTTTCCCTATAGATCTCAGCAAATGCCTAAGTGCCTATCTTTACAAATAATATTTGATTTAAATTTACACACTTTAAATATTAAAAGATTTAGAAGTTTTTCTAGTTTTCCTAACTAAACTGCACTTTTCCTGTAAAATATATAACTATTATTTAATATCAAATTTACTGTTATAAAAGTCATTTTTCCACCTGAAGGACTGATAAAACCTAAGCATATCATCTCAATATTTTTATTTCTCTTAATTTTATACATTTCGTTACCCCTAATGGCTTTTACTGATCCTGCTTGCTCCTACTAGCCTGAATACTGAAGTGCATGCAGGACTTTGTAGACCAAAAATTCCATTTACTTGTTGAAAAGTCATTGCGTCATACCTCGCCCAATTTCTTTTCAATTACAGTGAGCAAATATAAGTTGTCACTTTCAGCTTTTCATTTCCTTGCAACATTATTAAAATTCTTTTGACATTTACATTTTCTCATCGATTTTACATTTTCTCATCGATTTTTGTTGAATAGGCCACACACTGGCTGTTGGGTGCTAGTTAGCTTCAATATCAGTGCCACATTCCTAATTCAGAATGATATTTAATATCTTATACACTGATTTTAAGGTTTTTAAAAACTCGCATAAGGGGCCGGGGAGATGGCTCAGTGGAATAAGCGCTTCCCTGGCAAGCGCAAGGACCTGAGTTCAATCCCCAGTTCCACACACACACACACACACACACACACACAAATAATAAAATAAATAAATAAAATAAAAAATAAAAATAAAAACACGCATAAGTCTTGCCAATGCTTTAAAGTACCCTAATTAAGATGTAAGGTTACTCTGTCTACCCGCCCTGAAACCACTCATTTTTCTACCAAAAGAATACTGAGAAACTTTCTTTCTGGGAACTCTTCAGAGTGCTTGGAGCAAAATCTCTGCTTTCATAGCCACACGTAGGAACGAAGAGGAAAATGAAGCCCCACACGAACACATTACTGCTCCAAAGCACAGGGTTGGTGTGTCCACTTAAACATTTACTTCCTGTCTTGAAATCTTCAATACGTACTTGATGTAGACCTGACCAAAGAACCCCTCTCCATACAGAGATATTCCTACAATTCCACACTGACCCCTGCTCCCTTTAACTCACCACCTTACAAGGGTTTGCAATGATTTCTGAAGAGTAATTCATCAAACAATGATGTAGGACTGCTGTACACTCTGATAAATACGATGTAAGAGTTAGCACATGCTGAAGTACGGAGGGCCACACTTCAGTGAAGAGTGAAATGCTTCAGAACGGAAAAGAAGCATTAGCTGCCACAATAGAAACCACCTTTTCTGTGTCCACACGATGGGGATGACTGAGTGCTGACAGAAAGCACGCATGATGCTGCACCACGGCAGTGCACCTCGGACTTCCAGTTCAATTTTAAAGAATGAAGATCTGATCAAAGCAAATAGTCCCAGGAAACATGTGATCAGTTAGGGAAGACGGCAGGAACCCGTCTGGGCTGTGTCGTCTCAGTCTTATCATTTTGTAACACTTGAGCTTCAAAAATAGTGATCAATCTGTTCAAAGTGTCAAGCGTAACCACACTGGATGGGAAAAATTCATTTTGATGCTGAAAAAGTACATGTGGAAAATTTCAGAATAACTGAGACAAGCTACATGCAGTGTGCTACTGCAGGTTCAGCGCTGATTTCCTGCATTCTTGGTGTCGAAAGGAGCTTAGGAAATACCAGACAACAAAACTGAGGTTGTGCTCAGAACAAAGAAGGTAATAACGTCATTTCACTCTGCAAATCAGACCCTGCCTGAGGTTTAAGGCTCACTTCCGAGTTTTCAAAAGGAATGCTGGTAATTCAAAATGTTTTCTGCATACAGGAAATGTCTCTGAAAACTTACAACATGAGAGACACAGGATGTGACTTTTACTACGTAAAACAGTAGACTCAGAGAAGCATTTGCACACGTAAGCACCCTACGAGACACCACACAGAAGAGCGACTAGCTTTAGTTTGGCTTCTGAACCAGCACTACCACGCCAAAATAAGCTGGTTACCACCAAAAGGTCAAGGGCCCTGCGTGAACGTAAAAGATAACAGAGGTTGACAGCTCGAGTGCCAAGAATTTCACAACGTTTCATTGCACTCAGACTTCTCCTGAAGAAGCCCCGAGTTTATTTTGACACTGCAGAACAGAAAAGGCTTCTCCACTAAAGGACTTGGGAAAGTAAGTCGGAAGAATCTTTTGGAAAATACAGAACATGAAGATGAGGATAAGATCAGTAAACAGCTTGCTAAGAAGTGACCCATGGAACTGGATAAATTTTTAAAGATGAACTAAATTGAAAGCACTATTTTTAATAAAGCAGTTTATAAGCTTAATTTCAAACAATGTGTAGCTCCACCTAATCTGCCGAGGAAACAGGCTTGCCTCAGCTGCAAGGAATCCAGGCCTCGGTTCCTACCAGCCTGGGGAACTAACTGCAGGACAAGGGCTTGGGTGCAGGAGCAAACAAACAAATCTCTCACCAAAGGATGCACCCAAAGGCACACAGAGGTGGGAGTCAAGCCCCAGACCCAGAGATCATCTGACTAAGATCAAGTGTGCCCCCTGCAGCGCAGGCACAAACACCCACCCTTTCCTGGAAGCACTAGGTCACAAGGTGCCCCGTGAGTGCAGGTGAAGTGAAGCGGTTGGGAACTGGAAGACAGGAAAGAAACAGAAAATATTAATGGAAAGGCAGTAGGTGAAAGCACAAAGCAGATATCCCCAGCAGAGGTTCACGAGGAAGGTTATCGTGAGTTTAAGCACCTGGGCTAAAATTCAATGTCAACGAACCTGTGTGAAAAAGAAAGTATAGTTTTAGTATGAGAAAGTGTGAATCACGCAGGTTCCTCTGCGGCCGTTGATATTCAGAAACAGCGGCAGCATTATTGTACATGAAGTTTAAGCTGATATTGTGAAGTTTTAGAGGCCTGCAACACGGGGAACTGATCCCTGACACCCAGTGTACAAGGAAGGATGCGGGTCTGTATCTGCGGTGTGTGCAGACCGAGGGGCGCAGAGGGCTCAGTGACCGACGCTGCGTACAACGTAAATCTCATCCTCACTTGAGTACCAGAAAAGGCGCGGCACAACTTGTTTTTAAAACTCAGAGTTGGAGAAGAAACGTTATAAATGTCCTGTGCATGAATATCCAGCGATAATCCAACGGCACCGTCGCAAACGTGAAGAGGAAACTGAGAACACTTACATCCCAAGGTAGCTTTCAACCTGGAACCCCAAGAACAGACTCAAAGAGACAGAGAGGAGTTAAAGTCAAGATCTAAAGTCACGATGGCAGCAGGGAAGTGAAGGGAAAAGACCTCAGAGGAACACAAAGAAAAGGCAAATCCTTTTTGAAGAATGTTTTGTAAACAAGACAGTTCTAAAGATTAGTAAGGAACCACGCACACCCTGATGACCCAACGTATGTACGTATGTGGCACATGTACTACGTATATTACATATATTAAAGTATATATGTATATCAATTTTACAAAATAGCAGGTTTCTTTGTGGCATTCTCATATACACGGACATATGACATATTTGGATCTTATTTATTTGTTCCTAATAATTTCCCTTAAACCTACTTGCCCTTTATTTGCTCTCTCTTGTCTAACAATTGCCCTCCTACTTTTGACATTTTTTTTTGTTCTATATATTAGGAAAAAGTCTTTCTGTGTCTGGCTTATTTTGTTTAGCATGGTGATCTCTAGTTCCATCCATTTTGCTGTAAATGGCACGATCCAGTTCTTTTTTTTTTTTTT